CGGGGGGGAGGAGGGGGGGGGGGGGGGGGGGGGGGGGGGGGGGGGGGGGGGGGGGGAAGAGATGTCCTTTAAACAACCAGCAGCTCTCCTGGCAACTAATAGTGAGAACTCATTCACTACCCACCCTGCCCACCGAGGGCATGAATATATTTGAGGGATCCACCCCCCATGACCCAAACAGCTCCCAACACTGCCACATTGGAGATCAGGTTTCGACATGAGCTTAGGCGGACAGCATATCCAAACTCTATCATGTGGCTTACTGCTTTTTAGCCTTTTCCTACAAGGCAGTTTCTTCTATTTTAATAACAAAAGGAAAAAAGCAAGATATTGCTCCTTTTAACACACATTATTCAACCAGACCAGGGAGTGAGAGTAGGGGAGTGGGAAGGTGAACAGAAGAATGGAACTACATTTGGAATCTGAGACACGACCAATTTTGAGCTGGGTTTTTATAGTCATAAAATATCAGAGGCAGGAGAGGACTTTAGTTCAAATTCCACATTTTACAGTTGGGGATCTAGGAAGTTCATCAGGTTTTAACTGGAGGCATGTGGCCTAACCCTTCTAAACCCATACCTGCCCTTCCAGCCTAAGTTCCTAGAAGTGCAGAGATAATGCTGGTGGTTGCTGCTCATCTGATTGCAGGGCCTGGTCTGCAGCTGTGTCAATATTGACTTACTCAGTTTTTTATGCTGACATGCACAAAAGGACCTGGGACCTGCTTTTGGTTCTAGGGAGCCATCTGTTGGCAGTGAGGGCTATGCCTCATAATGCTGGTCCAGGTGACATCTAAGTCTGGATAATATGGAGCCTCCAAACACCATTCCAAAGTCCTTTCTACTTTCTCTTTTAAGTGCCTAGTGCCCCAATACCCCTGTAGGGAAAATATAGGAAAACGGTCAGGGCTCCTCAGAAGTCCAGAATCTTGCCAAGCATTTGATGTAAATATGCACATGCGCCCAGGTGTTCCTTGGCTAGTGTCTGATATAGATACACGTGAGCACCCAGGTGTCCTGGGCTATGGACTTAAGTACAAAGGACTAGTGGCTTGATCTGCAGAGCCCCCGGGATGCCCCCAGGGGTGGGGAGGCTGCTACTGCTGCTGGAGGCTGTTGCTGCCAGGGCCCCCAGGACCCTCCAGGAGGCCACCACTGCTGTTGCTGGAGAGCGGTAAGCAGCTGCTGCTGCTGCTGCTGACTGAGCTTGTGTCGTCTGTCAACGGCTCCCAGGATCTTTCCCAATTACGTAGCATGGACCTGCGTGTGAGGGGTCTGGTGACCCAGTCTGTACAACGGGTTTGAAGGGTCTGAGCCCTAGCCCTGCTAATAGAAATGGAAACTTAGTATAACTAAAATAATGAAACGTTTTGGCTTTAGTTATGAAATGCCTAGCCATACAATTAGCATAGCTATTGCCTCAACCTGACAACTGGCATAGTTGTATAGCTTTATACCCCCAAATTCTCCCCTAAGTGCCCCGTGCGTCTATCTGCGGGACTCCAGAGACCTGCCTTCTGATGACAGTAGTTCCTCCTCTAAACCAATAATTCCTCACACGGATGTAATACTTTGCAGCTTGCAAAGAACTTGCATACATGTTTCCAGTTTTGAACTTCATATCAATACTCAATCAGAACAAGTATCACACTCTCTATTTTCAGATTAGCCAACTGGGGATATTAACTCATTTGCCTAAGGTAACATGAATGGGAAGTGAAGAATCTGGCCTTATACCTATCTCTGACTCCAAGACAGACCAGGTCAAACCAGAACAAGCCTCTTTTGATCAAACCTTACAGCATTTTGTCCTGTTGCCATTCTTTTTCAAATGGAAAACCTATCATGGGTTTCCTTCTCAATAAGCTACCATATCAGATGATAACTATTCCTCAAGAATTTCCAATATCTGATAATGACAATATGGTATTATTTCTGGGGAGACTGCATTATAACCAAAGATTCTTCACATCACAGGCTAACAGGTATATATATCTGGGGACACCCAAAATCACTCCATATAGGTAGTCATATTGGGGTGAAACTAGATCTCATCCCATTTTTCAAGTGTGGAGGATCAAAACGCCCCCTGTCTCAGGAGTAAGATACTGACACACTGATGTATTAAGAATGTAAAATGTTTTATTAAAGCAATGTACAAGGCAGGAGAACATTAATAATTGTTTTCATCTGACAGTTCATTTTCAACCAGTGAGAGTAGGCACTGTTTCAGGAAAAATATCACCTTGTGATCACCCTCTATCTTTGCCCTACTTTTCTTAGTCCAGCTATCTAAATACTGAGTGCCCTTGTGGCCGTGTTTCCTTCATGGCTGAAGACATGAAACAACTAAATTTAGTTTTACCTGAAAAAAATCCTGGAGGAATATATTTAATCAAGTGTGACTTAATTTGAGGCAGGTTATCAGTTCTGATCTAGTGGCATTTAGATGAAAGCTGACCCTTAACAGAAAGAAACACCACAAGGTTAGATTTTATACATGGAAGACAGTGGGATAAGTCAGGCCCTACGGAGAGAAGGTATGTGCTGGGTGTTATGAAGGAAAGAAATGAGTCAGATCTAGTCTGGGGGCACCTTGGGCACAAGGCAGGTGTTGGCACTAGTAAGATTTTTTTTTTTTTTTTTTTTTTTTTAGATGGCCAGTACAGGGATCCAAACCCATGACCTTGGTGTCACAAGGCTGGTTTCTATCTAACTGAGCTAACCAGACAGCCCATGGCACTAGCAAGATTGAAGGATACTGCATAATGGTCTTGCCTTCATATTGTGCATGAGGAGGCATACCTGCCCCTGGCAGTGGCAAGACAAACACAGTGAATAGTAGGGAGCAGAGACTGAGTGAACGCCGGTGTAGCACAGAGGTTAAGTGCTCCAGAGTTGCAATCTAGTAGTCTGGTTTTGAAACTTGACTCCTCTAATTATGGGCTATGTGATCTGAAGCAATTCACCTACCCCTCTGAGCCTCAGCTTCTTCCCACAGGAAATTAAGATCATAATATCTTCCCTATGTAAAGCCTTAGCAAAGTATTCCATTATTGTCAGCTATCATTATTAGGCCCAGGGGGTGCATCAGAAGAAAACAAAAACAAAAACAAAAAAACCCACTAAATCTAAGCATTTGTTCTCTACAATGTTTTCCATGCTAGCTAAAACCTGGAAACAGCCTACCCAATAATTAAGGAAGAGCCAAAGCGATTTCCCTATTTGATAAAATATGCTACAGCTGTTAAAACATTTTAACAATGAAGACAATTTAGCAATATAGAAAAGAACTGGGTGATTCTGAAAGATAGAAGAAACAAAAGACATTGTCATTGGGCAGTGCAGTTGGAGAGTCAAATATACTTAACAACGTGAGGTATCACAGGATTAACATTAAATAAGTAGTATGGACTAGAAGCGATTTATAAATTCGGGTATGACACGGTGGCCTGGATAGGTCAAGAAAGAGTTATGCAGCAGGTAGGAATTGAGCTGGGCCTGAAAAAATGGATAGAATTTGTATCCAGTTTGGAAGAAAGGCCTTTTGACATAGCAAGCACAAAAGGAAGCTGCACTACGGGGAAGGAGGAATACTCAGAGAACAGCTAGGAGACTCGACTGGCTCAAGCAGAGGTTACATGCCAGGACAAAGTCATAAACGGGGGTCATACTCAGGGAGAACCCTGAATGCCAGGCTGAGGTGTCTGAACTGTATGCTCTAAGCCTTCTGAACAGAGAGAAGGCAACATGTGAAGAAAACCTGGAAACATGGGACACTGCTGAAAAGAGATGGGGGTCTGAGATTTGAGTGTGAGAACTGGAAGCAAAAATATTTCTGATACAAGAAATATTTAGAATGTTACACCATTTTGTTCTCCTAACTCACATGGCTTTCCCCCCTTCCCATCAGTTTTCCAAGTTATTCTCTTTCTGTACTGCTATGGGCTACCAATTTCTGCTAACCTAGAGCTCTCACCAGTTCCTCCCATCTCCTTAACAGGTGCCTGATCACATCTCCACGCCTTACCTCCTGGCCAGGCAGTGTAGAAGGAAGTATTTTCTGGGAAACAATATGACCAGGACCCAGAAGGGAAAGAACTTCCTCTCCCATCGTTTTCATCAGTCACTCCCTACTCGGCTGGAATGGGGCATGATATTCTGCTACTCAAAACCGAAAGTCAGTGAGGTATGTGCCTCCATCTCCAGTGTGCTTCCAGTTCTCCCCTTCAGCCTGCAGCGCTGTGTACACCTCAAGAGCCAATATCTGCAGAAGGCCGCTGCCAACCTTACCTTCTCTCAGGAGGTGGTGTTGCAGCGAGGGCTTCCCAGCATTCCATATAGCCAGTACAGCTTTGACCACCTCTACAACACGGACAACATCATCCAGCCTCCCCAGATCAGGAAGGCTCAACCCGAGAAACCTGTCAGCTTCAAGCTCTTGGGTTCCTCAGGTCCCTCAGCAGGGGACACCTCCCACGCTCTGAAAACAGAAAGCTCTGCCAGTCCTGAAAAGAAACTGAAGAAATCAAAGCCAAAAAGCACAGTCCAGGAAACACCTCATCACCTCACTCATCGTCCCTGCAGTGATCCAGATATACTGGGTCTGACAACTTCTCCAGCTGTGAACCTGGAAGAAAGGGAGACCTGGCTTCCACCTCCTGAGAAGGAGGCCAGAGCCTGGGAGGCCATTGTGTTGGAAAAGCTGAACAAGCGCACAGCCCGATGGATCCAGAACAAGCATCCTCTAAGGTCTGGAGTTTCCCCCAGCAAGTGGCAGAACTTCTTGCGCCAGCAATACGACTGGAGCCACATCCGGGATGAGCTAACCTCTGCCAGCGACCTGGAGCTCCTGAAACAGCTGGAGGTGGAAGAGACAGAAGAGTTTGAGGATCAAAGAGTCATTCTGCACCCCCAGGAAAAAAAGAAGCCAGAGCTGCTGCTTCCTGCTTACTACAGGTAGACTGGCCAGGGCTTCAGGTATACATTTTATAGTCCCTGGCGCCCCTTCAAGGACTCCCAGGTGGGTTCACATTCCTTATTTCAGAATGCACTCTCCCATCAACATAATGTTCTTCACCGCCAACTTGCTCTCTGAGACCTTGCTCAAAGTAAGGTTTCTCAACTCCTGCACTAGTGACATTCTGGGCTGGTTAATTCTTTGTTGTGGGTGCTGCCCTGTGCATTGTAGGATGTTAGCAGCATCCCTGGCTTCTACCAACTAGATCACAACCTCCCAGCTGTGACATCCAAAGATATTTCAGACATTGCCAAATGTCTCCAAGAGAGACAAAAATCACTCCCAGCTGAGAAACACAGTTCTTGGCCTTCCCCAGCAGCCTTAGCTATCATACTACTGATCCCCCAAAGATATTTCAGACATTGCCAAATGTCTCCAAGAGAGACAAAAATCACCCCCAGCTGAGAAACACAGTTCTTGGCCTTCCCCAGCAGCCTTAGCTATCATACTACTGATCCAGTTACCATCCAGGTGCTCCCATGGCAGAGACATTATGGCACTGAGGTTTGGTCCTGCCTGACTTTCAATAAAAAATCAGTATGTCACTGACTCAAAAACCAACCAGCTGCAGGACAGAGAACCAAACAACCTGAGAGAAGAGGATGACTACATATTTCTCAGATTGCTTCCTTCTCATTTATAGCTAGAGGGAAGACTGGAGCTTTTATAATATCCTTGATTCCCAAAAATGAACTAAATATAGTGAAAATCCATTTATTTATTCATTTATTGGACAAACATATATTGCGTTCTTGCTACTTTCCAGGTACTCTGAGAAGTGCTGGGAACACAATGTAAAAGCCACAGATATGCACCTTTAAGAAGCTTTCAGCCTGTTCAGTGGGTAGACAAACATTAAATAACCACATGCATAAATAGATAGAGTAAGGTAATGTTGGAGGGCAGATTCTCCTCCCCAAGTCCATGCAACCTCTAAGGGTACCAACATTAAAAAAGGGTTCTGCTGGGAGCATGCCACACTGTCATACTGCCAGTGGCTGCAGAAGACATGGCTCCATCAGTGAAGGGGAAGGTGGCCACAGACAGGATGTTCTGGCAGCTCCACATTCAACTGGCACCTTGGGGACAAGGCTAATAGTTAAACATAGGTGTTCTTCAGATGCTCACATGTGTATGAGCTGAGCTTAAAGAGGAAAGGGAGTTGTGGATGTAATGGAAAAGGAGTCCATCTCCTACCCTTTCCCCCTTTTCTCCCTCTCTCACCCAGGCCAAGATTGTCCAGTTACTTCCCACAAGTACAGACAGCTGAAACTATTCCTGGTAACAATAAGATTGTTGAGGATATCAATGAAAAGAGGAGCATCCACCAGCCCCAAGAACAGAACTACTTTCTGCAAGTGAATCCTCGAGCTGGACTGTTTGCTTACTCCACAGACAACACCTTTGAACAGGAGATTTATTTTGGTAATACAGCTGGGTCCATATTAGGGGCAGAGGCGGATGTGGACCAGGGAGGTGGAAGGTAGCTGGGTGTCGGGGAGAGGCCCTGGGTTGCTCAGGTTTTCAGAGAAATGTCTTGTGATTACTAGCACAGGATTTGGGGTGGAGGAGGGGAACAGCAGTGATACCTGGTAGAACAGCAGTGATACCTGTTTCACTAAGGAGGCAGGGGAGGATGGGATTGTAAAGTTGGCAAGATATGACTTTGGTGGGTTTTCTTGGGCTTTTTTGGTGACTGGCCAGTTCAGGGATCCAAACCCATGATCTTGATGTTATAAGGCAGCACTCTAACCTACTGAACTAACTGGCCAGCCAGATTTGATTTGGGGAGCAACCTGTTTCTTCTTTATCCACCCTTCTCCCTTTTCTCCCTTTGAGATATTCCCTCATTGAAGTGTTATGTTGGAAAAAAAACTGCAGGCTTTGGGGTCAGGCAGATTTGAATTTAAATCCTGGCTCAGCCCCTTCTTAGTAACCTTCAGCAAATTACATAATCCTGCTGAGCCTTAGGTACTTTACTTGTAAAACGATGTTAACAAAAACGCACTTCAAGTAGATGAGAAAGTATCTATAATGCTTCTTGCGTAGTGCCTGGCACATAGAAGGTACTCAATAAATGCTCACTAACTCCCCCTTCTATCTTGCTATCCTTTAGATGCCTGGGCTTCCAGGATACCTTATCTAGGTCTGCATGTTCCAAGCTGTTTCTTCTTCCAGGTCCCCATCTTGTTCCCAAACTGCTGTCTGCTGAAAGTCTTCTCAAAGTGCTTAACATAATTATTCTGACTAAGGGATTCAGGACTGATGGGATTGATTAGGTATCCCTTTTTTAGTATCTAGCTTTTCATAGAGGACTATGCCTATAAGTTAGACAGGTTCTGCCTTAACACTCTCAGGCATCTATGAGCTACTAGCTGGAACATTTCTAAGCAACAGTCACCTTCAAAGGGATACCCCACAGCATGGTAGTGATGCATCCTAGGGGCTTAGCACAGGGCAAAAGTAAATTGGGTCTGATCCTGGTCACTGGAAACCTAGGAACATAGGAAAGAGGGAGGTGTATGGGACTCATTGTTTCTTTGTCCACAGATGAAGTCCAGATCATCCACCGGATTGGTGCAAAAAGAGACCAGATTTTCCTGGGAAACCTCAATCGGTATAACAAGCAGTTATCTAAGGTCTTCCCTGAAACTCCAGAAAAGTGGAGTTCCCAGCCAGTTCCTGAAGCATGTAAGCAGAAAGCTGATAACGGGGGGTAATGATGGAAGTGTGGCTTTCTTTCAAGGCCCCTAGTCCATGGGCTGTGGCACCATCAACATATAGGGAACTCCCTGCCAACTAAAAATTATTTCATAAAATTATAAAATAATAATTTTAACCAGGAAGAGCCTCAGTGGAACATAGTTAAAATCAGATATAACTTAGGTATAATCAAGTGGTTTAGTGCCAATAATTACCAATAAAGCAGGTCCCATCTTAAAGCTTCCAGGGGAAGTCCGTCAAACTCCTGACCCAGCACTCTGCTCTTTTCCCCTGGGCTGGCTTTACCCTCCCACTCCACACTCAGGCCCATACCTGCCTCAGGACCTAGGGTCATCCTTTCTTGTTTCTGTTTCACAAGAACATCATTCTTCTTTCTGTAAGACAAATAGGGAGCGGGAAGAGAGATGACAAAGTAATGAGCTTATGAAACAAAATGTGCCCATCCTCCAAGAGACTACATCTCCATTTCCCACAACTCTTTTCTTTGCAGTATTATTGTTCAGATGGGCCCCCGGTGTGCAGAAACTAACACAAAAGCAGTACTGAACCATTCTTCCTCCCACCAAACGTCTGTCCTTAATGTCGCCTGGCTAGGAAACAGCCACTGGATAAAGGAAGTGCTAATTATAGTAGCTATGGGCAGCTTCCCCCAAATCCACATATCCTCCCTTCATCTTTGTTGAGGACCACCATTATTATAATACAGAGGAGAAAGTACCTCAGGAAAGGCTGGGGTTGTGTCTTGGCAAGTCATTTTTTTGGGCTTCAGCTGCTTCATTAAAATGGAAACACCAATCATTCCTATAGGAAGGTACTTTTGCAGCACTTAAGATGATGGGATTTTGTGAATATGTTTTATAAACCATTAAGTGCTGTGCAAACTCAAGGCATTATTATTAGTATACCATCTTCCCCATAAGCCAACTCCATTCTGCATGTCCTCTCCTCTGAGAATAGGCAAATCCATAGAGACAGAAAGTAGATTAATGGTTCCCAGGGGTTAGGGGGAGAGAAGGAGGAATGGGTACGGGGTTTCTTTTTGGGGTGAGGGAAATATTCTCATATTGTTATTATTTTGTGGCAGCTAATCAGTACAGGGATCTGAACCCATGACCTCATTATCAGCATATTCTCAAATTAGATAGTAGTAATAGTTGCACAATTCTGTGAATATACTAAAAACCACTAAATTTAATAGGATGAATTTTATATACATAAATTCTACTTCAATAAAGCTGTTATTTAAAAAAAAAAAAATCCTACATAGAAGGTACTAAATTCATATTGTTATTATTTTGTGGCAGCTAATCAGTACAGGGATCTGAACCCATGACCTCATTATCAGCATATTCTCAAATTAGATAGTAGTAATAGTTGCACAATTCTGTGAATATACTAAAAACCACTAAATTTAATAGGATGAATTTTATATACATAAATTCTACTTCAATAAAGCTGTTATTTAAAAAAAAAAAAATCCTCTGCGGAGGCTTCTGCGTTCACAGAGGCTTCCACTGCTGCCCTCACTTGCTTCACTTGCCACCCTGCCCCAGTGGTGCCGACACCTGTGTCCTTTTTCCCAGAACAGGTCAATGAGCTCATGCTGTAGAAGTTTGTACATCAAACTTAAAAACAGCATTTGAGATTGATTTGGAGGAAGTAAAGTCAGAATGGTAACATACACACACCTTCTCATAACCATTCTCTTCATCTTTTCATCTCAGGAAATGAAGTTAGGTATGAAAAAACCTGGAAAAAAAATAGGAAGATGACTAAGGTTAGATGTGGTGGTAGATTTTTTTTTCCTCTCCATTTTGTTTGAACTGAAAAACTTAAATGATTTCCATAAAATGATGAAAGTTCTCAAGATAAGAAATGTACTTAGTATTAGATAGCCTTTAATTCTCCCAAAATTGCTATGTAAAATTGTCTATTGTACCCAGATCATTACTGTTCCTATATGCCAAGCACAAGTTATATAGTACAAGTCACAGATACAAGGGCACCATTTGTTTCTTCCAACAAAGTATACAGCCTTTTTTGTCCCACAGAAAATGAAAGAGTAGTTTCTTTGTGTGCTCCTCTTAGATGATTTTTGATGTGGGAATTGGCTAGTGGATGTGTCTCTACCTGCCTAGAACTGAAAGAACTCGAAGTAAATGTTGGCAGTTATATTTGTGTATTCCCATACCTGGATTAAATGTCAGAGATCTAAGACTTTCTCACCACAAATCCATTTGACTCCTTGATCAGGAGATACAGGAGCAATGGGGATAGTTCAGCTACTTCTCACCTCTTCACGAGGGATTTCAAGCAGGCTGAGAGAAGTTGGGGAGTGTCATGAGGCAAAGTGTTACTGCCCTGGAGCTGACCTGCTGGAGCTGGCTTCACAGCTTCTGGCAGCACAACAGCCTGTGTTGTAAAGGAAGGAAGCCCTCAGCAGGGTGACTGAGTTCTCTCAGCATGACCCAGCTGGTGAGGACCATATGGAGAATATGCACTGTGTGGACATCTTTGCTAACCTGCACTGGAGCACGGGACTCTTTTAACATTAGAAGAAATGTTACTGCCCTCCTTGCTCAAAGGAAAGAATTGATTCTGAGCATCTAAAAATGTTAAGAGTTGGAATGAAGTCTTAGAAGAAACAGAAATGGTTGATAGTGACAGATTAGAATACAAGACTGATAGGCAATGTGTGGCAAATAATAAATTTACTAAGTTTGAGAAAGAGGTTTTCTGAATCTGTTTGACACCACGAAGAACATTAAGAAAACATAACTGTTTACAACTATATACAGCTATATTTATATAATATTTATGGTGGCTTCTCTTCTCACATTTGACCATTATTTGTTATAACAAGGAAGAACTCAAAGAAGATAAAATCTTTAAAATTTAGCTGCTTATAGTACCATTTCTCTCAATTAAAAACATTAAAAAGAAAACAATAAATTGGGAATTAATGGCCAATTATACTCTAAATTGCAATATATAATATTGAATATTATGAGCAAACCTTGTTGCATATAAATATATTTATGTTCCTGGAGATTTATTAAACTTATAAAAGGTTCATATATATCTCAATTTCCCCCCCAAATTTCTCTACCCCATCATCATCATGGCTTATCATGTCTATTGTCAGAACTTTTCATAATTCCCTGTGGAAATCAGTTCCCTATATAATCATGGGAAAGTTCACTCTTGAGAGTTTTGTTCTGCCTTTGTGTTAGTCAAGAGTAGGAATGGGATACTAGCTGGGACCACTATGTGGCAGGGCCTAAGTCCTCACACTGCCACGTTGCACAGCTTGTAGGCCCGTGAAAGGAGCCCGGCGCTGGACTGCTTTGCCCACCCCGGCCAAGGATCTCCTGCTGCAGGTGGGTGAGGAGGATGTACCCATTAAGACCAGGAGATCAAAGAAGCAAGCAAAATCACTGGAGGAGGATGTGACTTGGGAAGTGGTGGCCCTGCGGAGGATGCTACAGGAGTGGAAGACTGCCTGGTCTCTAAGTGAGTGAAGGGAGGTCCTGAGACATTGGTATGCATTTCTTTTCTTTTTTTTTTTTTTTTTTAAAGATGACTGGTGAGGGGATCTTAACCCTTGCCACAGGAGTGGAAGACTGCCTGGTCTCTAAGTGAGTGAAGGGAGGTCCTGAGACATTGGTATGCATTTCTTTTTTTTTTATTTTTATTTTTTTTTTTAAAGATGACTGGTGAGGGGATCTTAACCCTTGCCTTGGTGTTGTCAGCACCACCAGTGAGCTACCGGCCATCCCTATATGGGATCCGAACCATGGCCTTGGTGTTATCAGTACCACACTCTCCTGAGTGAGTCACAGGCCGGCCCATTGATATGCATTTCTGAGGGGGTGGTTCTCACCATGGATTAGTGCTTCTCATTCTTTGAAAATCCATCACTTTCATGTGAAATGTGTCACCTCTTAAGGCTAGACTAGATAAGAGCCTTTCACACAATGGGTGTTAGATGAATGTTAGTCAACATATATCTGGATGCTTTTTGCACAGACAGGTATTACTTCAGTTATCTGTGGAAACTCACTACAGTGAGAACTCTTCATAGGCAGAGACCCTGTCTTATTGATTTCTGAAACTTTATGCTCAAAAAATGATGCATGAAGGGAAAGAGGAAATATGCTGCCTAAGCACTGGCCATGTAGTAATCAAAAGAAACTGAGGTGACTGGTATAAACAATCCCTCTTCAATATTCATTTGTGGTGTTGGGGTGATCATGTATCGACTCTGCCTTCAAAGATACAACAGTAGAAGACTGAGTGCCTGGGGCAGAGTATGGCCTAGCAAGGGCTGTTGAAAGCTACAGTTGAAAGGCCATACTTTCAGAGCAAGGGCTGTTGAAAGCTACAGTAGTTGAGAACTCAAGAACTGCTGCCTTTCAGAACGTAAGAGACTAGTTTAGTTAGTGCAGGAAAAAGAGAGGTGATCCATTAGGTAAACTGGATCAGATAAACAAAAAAGGGTTGAAGAAGAGATTCTGAGTAAAAGCTACCAGTACAGATAGTAGGATTACTGAAACAGAAGTTTGATACCTGCAGAGAGCAGCTAGCAACTAAAATGACGACAATGTTGAAAGCCAGATGGAAGAGCCCTTAATGAAAATCACAATAATTACCATTCACTGAAACTTCCTTATCTTGGCAGGCATTTTGCTAAATACTCTGTCTAGTTAATTCATTTAACCTTCAAAGTAACTCAATATGCTAGGTTCTAGTATTATTCCCATATTCCAAATGAGAAATCTCAGGCTCAGAGAGGTTATATAACTTACCCAAGGTCAAATAGCTAACAACTGTAAGTCCAAACCAGGTATGTCTGATAACAAAGTACCCTTAACCTATGTTTTATTGTCCCTTTTATTTTCCAGATGGTTACAATAAAATGTTATTTAAGCAAAGAGAAGATAAAATATAGGATGGGATTGGGGCAGTTTGGTCTGGAAACTACCTGAGAGGATACACGGATCATCAGAGAAATAACTTCCCTGAAGACCCCGTCTCTGGGCCCTTTATGTTTCTGAGCTAATGTTTTGTTTAAATTGTCCTTGTCTCATCACCTATCTGCAGTACAATATCTAACCCTAACCAGGTGGTTTTCTTCTCATTTCTCTCACTTCGGCATAGACATCGAATGGCACCATGAGACAGTGGAGAGTCTGCTGAGGAGCCTGACAGACATGCATGACGACATTCGGATCCAAGCCATCATCACATGTGCCACAGCTGCTTTGGAATGGCCCCGGATTGCCACCAGCCAGAAGGACTCAGGTGAGAGCCATGACTGACCTGTGAGAACATAAACAACTCATAAAGCTGTACAACATTTGAACTGATGGCAATCTTAGTGCTTGTCTGAGATCATTTTACAAATGTGGAAACCAAGACCCAAGGACTGACCTGAATATACACAGCTTATCAGCAATAGAAATAAGATTAAAATTCCAGACTTCTGGTCCAGTGCTTTTTGCACTATCCTTCATCACCTTTTGTTTGCTCAGTGGCTTGCAAGCAAGTTCACACTTTCTCACCTTGAAATCCCATTCATAACAGCTGGCTTTCCTCTTCTCTGCAGCTGGTAGCATTCTAGGATCATTTCTGTCCTAATATTATCATTCTATCATAATTGTCTGTTTACATTTCTCTATCCCTATCCCTACAAGAAAAGGAACTCCTTAAGGCCAGAGACTAACTTTACCTCTACAAAGTTGTCAGGTTTTTAAAAGTTTCATTTCACTTATTTCACATTTATTGAGTTCCAGATATGGCATCTATCCCCAGATTTTCAAATTTGTTGCTCCCTCTGCTAGAAAACTCTCTTCACTTGACCAACTTCTATACTTGCCCTTCAATTTTCAGCTAAGGTGTCACTTCCTCCAAGGAACTTTCCCTTCCCCACTGCCAAGACTTGGTTCAGTGTTCCTACTATATGCTTCTACAAATATACGTTTTAAGTTATATCTGCTTATTTCCTTGGGAAATAAATGGGATTATGTATTTTCAGTGCCTGGCACATTGAGAAAAGCTTCAATAGGCAGCATTTGATATCATTATAATCTCAGCCCCAAATCTTCCAAATACATACAAAGAACTCCTTTGTCTTCCTCAGAATTGTGCCTTTTGTGATACCTTTCATTCGCCCTGGGTGTCTAAATTTGATTTGTCTTGTTACCAACCCAATGAATATTATCTTACTCAGTATTTCTTGAAATACTCAATTGACTCAAGTGACTTCTATTTATTCCCCTGAAATACACATATTTCCATCTAGTCCATTCTGAACAGATGGTATATCAGCCCACAGCATGAGTAAAAAGGACACATGATTAAAAATCCTAAAATCTGAGTCACAGGTTCAGCTCTGCCACTTCTTGGGAAATCAACTAACCTCTTTGAGCTTCAACTTCCTTATCTATAAAATGATGATAGTTGTGGACAAAAGGATAACAAAACCTTTCCCCCTTCTACTTCAGAATTTGAGCTTTAGTTCAATGCCCACCTGTTCCCCTGAAAACCCAATGAGGATAGGAAATATCTTTATAGGCAACACTGCTTATGATAAAAATGAACACTGATAAATTACATTGGGACTGGGAAGAACTATAAGTGAAATATAAATACCTGACAGGGACACCATACTTGGGCTTCCCTGAAAGATGTAACTTTTAGCAGACATGGCTTTGTGGAGCCTAGAATTATATCTATGGAGTTGTTATAAGAGATACTAGCTCTTGTGGAGCTTAAGTTCACCCAGAGTGAACCCTTTGCTTCTGAGCTGTCGCCAGAATGCTCTGTGGAAGGCTACACAGCCTTAAGCACTCCAGCCAAAAGGAATGCCTGCTGCTGCTGCTACTGCTGTCTTGTGAATCTTGAATGTTTAGTTAAACCTAAAGAGACTCCCTGGTGAGCCTACACAGCCTTAAGCACTCCAGCCAAAAGGAATGCCTGCTGCTGATGCTACTGCTGTCTTGTGAATCTTGAATGTTTAGTTAAACCTAAAGAGACTCCCTGGTGAGCTGTGCAATGATATCTGCCTTGCCTAATTCAACCAGGGTTGGAACACTAAACGAGATAATGAATGTAAAAACATGATATAAATAAATGGCAGGGCACTATCTAAATATAACTGTTATTACTATTAAAAATATAAAAACCCGTGGGGTAAATACGTTAATTTTCTTCACTAAAATGAATGGCGAATGTCACCACAACCTAGCTGGAAACATTCTTCTTTGGCTTAAACTTAGAGACCAGATGATAAAAGATTGGGAACTGGAATACCAACACAAAAGTGAGCTCCAACTCTTTGAGCATAAAATCCTGCCCACTGCAGGGGCTCAGCAGTTAAGTACCTGCAACTGAGACTGAGGTTGGCCACCACAGTGGCTGTGGGAAAAAAGCTGTTTGAGAGAAATGTAAAGGGGCTAGTACTCTTGCCTGGCTCTCTTTTGATCAGACAAGGTGACTGTGAAAGACCAATCTATCCAGGACCTGCCAGAGGCTCTACAGCCCACCCTGGAGGCTGCTCTTTGTGACAAGAATGCCAATGTGCAGATGGCAGCAGCACTATGCCAATATGCCATACAGTCACATAATCCCCTTGCCCGGGACATCATGCAGACTGCCCTTCTGAAGGGTGAGTAACCCCTGTTATTTATGACCTTGGAATATAGCATAAAGAGAGGACTTCTCACCATTAGCTTTCCCTGTCCTTTCCTCTCCACTATCATGCTCTGTGTTGTCTGCTGTACCAGGTTTGGGTTTATGCTAGAGCATTCAGAAATTAGTTCTTCCTGGGTACTTTTACAATATAGGTATACTGCCACCAAGGGTACCTGGACTAAGCTTTTCATCAATGCATCTGATTAGAAACCATGTCCACTTTCGCAAAACCAGATTTTTTAAACTGAAAAGATGATGTAATAATATTAAATACTTTTTGAAATTAAAAAATCACTACCTGAACATATGCTTTCATTTTTTGAACATTAACTTCCAGGCATTGTTCACTTGCATTTCTGGAGTTATATAATCAGAAAAGTTCTGTCAGGTGATAGGCCCAAAGTGCCTAACTGCTCTCTCCAGATGGGCTGTTTTGTTGCCTTAACAAGGGGAACAACTGGCTGACTGGTTTGGCCTTCTGCATACAGACTCAACAGCTTAATTCCTCTGTCTTAGGAAAGCCTCTTGCCCCAGCTTTCCCTATCTCCAGGGAGAGAAACTGCATACCTCACCTAGGCCAGAAGTGTCTTATGGCTGTTACCTAACATGAGCTTTTAGGACTTAAACTTTCAGGAAGATTTTCTGTTTATATTAAAACCTTGATACAGCCCTTTTAAATATGGTTTAAATATGGGATTAGGTTTCTAGACTGATTGGGAAGTGAGCCATCAGGCATGTAGAAGCCTGGGTACCAATCCAAAGGCTGTTCTCTCTGGGGGGAAAACAGATTGTCATTCTAGGCTTTTTTCACCCCACTGTGACAGGTGATAGTGTGGACAGTTGGGCTGCAGCTCAGTGCTTGGCTCTGGAAGGTGTTGCCACTTACCCCGTGATTCAGAGGATCCTTCATCAGCTGTTTAACAAGAAGAATGAAGAAACTGAGGACCAATCTTGTATCCTCCTGAGTCATCTCAGTGGAAAGACAGTATGTATCCGTTACAGGGTCACAGGAAGAAACCAAGTTTGGGGAAACAACTGGCTCTTTGAGGTCAGTGCAGGTGGTAGGTGAGCTGGGTAGGATAATCTCAAGCATAGGTAAAAGTGGACTAAATATGGGTAATCCTGGGTGTAGGGTGTATACTGGGAGAAGTAACAACAGCTAGTTGAGAAAAAAAGTAGGCTGCAAATGGTTTCTAAGTGTGTATTTAAGAAGACTGTGACATGCAGAATTTGCTCCTACTAGAAGTTTACCATTGAAAACCGTACAGAGCTACAATTGTGTTTACTTTCAATAGAAATATGAAATTCACAAAGATTGAGACATATACAAGTCATTTTAGGGGTAAAAATAAGTTTAAAAAAATAAGTTTAAAGTCAGAAAGAGAAGGCCCCAGAGGCTTTCTGTTCAGATTATTTTTATTTTATTATTATTTATTTAATTATTATTAATTATTTTTATTTATTTATTTTGGCGACTGGTCAGCACAGGGATCCAAACCCTTGACCTTGGTGTTATAACACTGCACTCTAACCAATTGAGCTAACCAGCCAGCCCCTAATCAGATTACTAAATCTGTATTTTTTCCCTGATTTAAGATCCCAGAGTCAGTTTGCTTAGTTGGAAGAGTGTCCCACCTCTTGTAAACCCACTCTTTCCTTTGCTAGGGATGGGCATCTCATTAATTATGTTGGATACATGTTAGGATGTTAACCACTTCAAAGTTCCAGTATCTCAAGAAGTGATTGTAAATATCCATACAAGTCTTCCATTTCCTCAGACCTTGATACATACCATGCTTGCTGTGGAGCTGAATAGCCATCAGTGGAAGGACCGGATTGTGGCCTGCTGGGCTTTCTCCCGGATCAATGGAAATGTCTGCTTGGTAAGCCTTCTCTTTGCTTCCAGGCCAGAAAGTCTAAGCATGGCTGGGATAGGGAACACTTCCACTTTTTGCTGCTATCTAGTATGCCATTCTTACCAAATAGATCTCAGTCCTCACATCGCTACCTCTTATTCCTAACCCAGAATTATCTTCAAATGCAGGCATGCCTTTTTTGTGACTTAAGCCTGTGCTTCTCAGTGTGGTGGCAGTCCACAAACTAATTGTAACTAATCCACAATGAAATAAGCACAAAAACTGAAGCGTTTAGAAACTTTTATAGTACAGGTTGAACATCTTAATCCAGAAATCTGAAATCCAAAATGCTCCAAAATCCCAAACTTTTTGATTGCCAACATGACACTCAAAGGAAATGCTCATCGAAGGATTTCAGATTTGGGATGCTCAACCAGCAAGTATAATGTAAATATTTCAAAAGCTGAAAAAATCCGAAATCCAAAATACTCTGGTCCCAAGCATTTTGGATAAGGGATACTAAACCTGTAATTTGACTTTACCTCGATATCAACAAACTTTATAAAGTATCAGTCCATGACATATTTCCCAATTGGTCTTGCATCACAGATAGTTTGAGAAGCACTGACTTAAACTACCCAACAACCCAACTATATGAATGTCTATGCTGATTCTCTAAGTGTTCAGCACATACATATAAAACACAATCCCTGCTTTCAAAAAACTGACACTGTAGTTGGAGCAACATAACCAACATACACAAACGATTCAAGAACAAGCAATAAATGTAAGGCACTCTCATAAAATTTTTCAGAAAGAGATTAGTGTGAGTTGATTTATTGGTTAAGGTTCTGTGAAGGATTATGGGACTTGGCCAGACCTGAAGAGGGAATCCCAGGCAAGGGAAATCCTGACCAACATTTAGGCTTTCACCTGAACTCCTTTTTGCCATTATTTTCAAATCATCTTCAGCTATCTGAATGAGATCTTTCCCTTCTTCCTATATACTACTTTATCTTTTCCTTATAACATTGGGTATCCGCAGAATGGCCCAGAACACTGCCGTTCCCATAAGAAGTGAACACTCTTCACTCTTCAACCCTCACATTTTGATATGGGAAGCACAAAATCTGGTCATTCAGTATAATCACCTGAAGAGGTTTTCTACTGGGATAATTCTGTCTCAAGTGTCTTAAGGCAGAATGGCCCAGAACACTGCCGTTCCCATAAGAAGTGAACACTCTTCACTCTTCAACCCTCACATTTTGATATGGGAAGCACAAAATCTGGCCATTCAGTATAATCACCTGAAGAGGTTTTCTACTGGGATAATTCTGTCTCAAGTGTCTTAAGTACCCTGCTGTTAAGTCCTGGACCAGTAGGCAGGCATCACCTGAGAGCTTGTTAGAAATGCAAAATCTCACCTTAGGCCAACTCAGTCAGAATCTGCATTTTAGCTATAACTTTAACATCCAACTCATTTGCATCCTTCACACTTGTCATTTGCACATTTCACATCCTTCACACTTGTCATTCACAATTGTCAACTTAAAGTAACAAGTCATACAGAACTAGCAAGAGATGAGGTAAAGATAACTTCGTGTCAGACAGCTGGAATTTAAGGCAGTATGTCTATGAGTTCTTTCACTCATTCAGTAAGCAAGCAGTTTCTGACCACATCCAATGCTAGGCACTATTCTAGCACTGAAGATGCAAAGATATTTTCTCTCCCTCAGTAAATGTTATAAATAGCTATAATGGAAGCAGCTGTAAAGTATTACAGGCATTTCCTATGCCTAGAGGGGGCATAGGAGACTTCACTAAGGAGATGTTTCTTGAGCTAAATCCTAAAGGAAGAGTAGGAAAACATCAGGTACCAGGTAGGGGTGAAGGAAGCAGATGTTTCAGGCAGAACAATAACTTGGGCACATTTACACAATCATCACCTTAGACTGTAGCAATCTTGTCCCTCCCCTCTGAGAGAAGTACATTTACAGGGTGAGCAACTGCTCTGGTTTGTCCAGGACATGGGACTTTCAGTATTAAAACAGGAAAGTCCCTGGCAAATAGGATGAGTTAGTCACCCCAATAAGTATCATTTCCAAATTTTAAGTCTCTCACCTATGTAGTAGTTTAAAGGATGAGCTTAGGTAACAAACCTGGGTTTGAGTCCTGGCTCCAGCACTTACCAGGTTAACCTTGGTCAAGTTAATCAAAGGCTCCATTTTGTCATTTATAAATGGTAATAACATCTGTTCCATTGGATTGTTTGGGAGATTAAGAGATAGGTAAAAAAAACACTTAGCACAATGCCAAGTACAAAGTTAATGTTCAATAAATGATAGCTAATTATTACACCTATTTATAGGATATGAAACATAAGTTGATCCATCTGATGTGGAATGACTGGAATAAGGAAGTGAGGCAAGCAGCTGCCCAAGCACTGGGGCAAATGAACCTTGGGAAAGAGGTACATGACACAATCAGGTAAGACCTAGTCAACATGAGAGACACTCTAATGTGCAGAGGGCTAGGATCCAGCCAGCATTTGTTGAGCTCCTCTGTGTGCTCAGCACTGTACTAGGTCCCACTGTAAAAAGTTAACAGTCCCTACAAAAATTAACATGTGGCTAGGGAAAGAAGCACTGAGTGCCCAAAGGTGTGAGGCAATGTTTTGGGTGTTTGAGGGAGTTCAAAAGGATGACACAATTCTAGGGCCAGCCTGTGGCTCACCTGGGAGATTGTGGTGCTGATAACACCAAGGCCACGGGTTCAGATCCCTATATAGGGATGGCTGGTTGGCTCACTTGGGAGAGCATGGTGCTGACAACACCAAGTCAAGGGTTAAGATCCCCTTACCGGTCATCTTTTTTTTTTTTAAAAAGAAAGGATGACACAATTCTAATGACTGTAGGCAAGATACACAAATGTCTCATTAAAAACGCCAAATCATATTAAAAATTAGAACATGTACTGGCCAGCCACCAAAACAAATAAATAAAAATAACAGAACAAATGTCATATACCATAACTACTATAGCAGAAAAAATGGAATACTCAATATGGGCTAGAGGAAACTTAAGGCTAAGTTTCATGGAGGATGGGTAAGACTGCATAGGCATTCCAGGCTGGGAGCCAAATGCAGAAATAAGTATGGCACATGGGAGGGCAGTGAAGGGAAGCTGGCTATGATGAGGGGTGCAAGCTGACACTTTCCTCATTCAACATAGTTGAGTGCCTAGTATATGCTAGGTAATAGGGATTCAAGTAAATAAGTAAGATGGATGAGGTCTATACTCAGTGAAACTTATCTAATGAGCATAATGCTGAAAGGGAAAGGGTGAGGCTGGATTAGAGAGAGCCTACAGAGCTTGGATTTTATCCTGAGGGAATTGGGGTGGGCGGTGGCACTGAAAGTTTAAGGAGAGGAGACAAAAGCAACTTGTGCCTTATAGAGTCAAGCTGGGTCAAGGAAATTCCCAAGAACGTGTGGAAGCCCTCTCCCTGATAGGTGGACTCAAGCTCATGACCGCCAAGCTTCTCCCAAGCTTCCTGCATTGCTTCTCTGATGACTTTGCAGCAGTTCGGCAGGCAGCCTGTTTGGCAGCCGGTGCCCTACAGATCCGCAACGAGATGGTGAGTCAGGAAAACGTGTTCTCATCTTACCTGATTGACCTGAAGAGGGCATTACCTTCCCTTGTGCACAGTACACTTAACTATTCTGTGGGGACACAGAATGAGAGATCAGAACCAAGAAGGTGAGGGGCTATATCAGCCACATTAACCCATAAGGACCATTTAGCTCCCAGCCAGCCCAGACTTCACTCTAGAGCACACCTCTGAACCTATTCTCACTTAAGTTAACTAGCATCTTATTACCTGGATACTAATGGGCTTTAGGATCAACTCCAGTGAATGGAGTTATAATCCCTAGTTATGAGGGGAAAACCTGATTGAAGCGTTCAAAAGAAGCCTGTCTGGACATAGATCTGTGAGCTGAAAAAAATAAAATCTACAGATACCAGATAATTCAGCTAATACACTATGCGTACTACCTGGTACTTCAGGCTCTAGCTCATTTGTCACTGGAATTGATAGAACACGGGGCAGGCTGGTTAGCTCAGTTCATTAGAGCGTGGTGTTCATAACACCACGGTTAAGGGTTAGGATGCCCTTACCAGCCAACCACAAAAAAATAAAAAGGATGGATAGAGGATTATTTTTCAGTTACAGCACCTTTTAGAGATAAGTGGGATTCCTGTTTCTGGTTCTTTCTTGTTCTGGTTCTCCCCACTCAATACGGCCTTTTATCCATCCCAGGTGCTTGAATGCCTCCTGAATCTGATGCAGAGAGATCCTTACTGGAAAATCAAGGCCTTTGCCATTCGAGGTATTACAGAAGTAGTGGCCCCAACTGCTCAACCCTAAATACCTTTCCCTGTGCTAGTACAGATGATCCCCAGAAACTCTCTAGTTAAGGGGGTGGAATATGTGGAAGGGAATGATCTTAGCTTCTCAGAAGCTACTTGCCTGAAAAGATTATTTACTTCTTCCTTTTTAAATTTTTAGTTAAGGATCCTGAGTCAAGGTCTATGTCAAATTTGTTAAGGCAAGTGACTGGCAACACAGTTTCTGCCAAGAGAATTAAAGATAAGTTCCAAATAGGTATCCACTATTGCATACATATTACTTTCTCTGGAGGTTGCCACAATAGCATTCTGTAAAAGAAAGAACAGACTCAAGACTGGTATAGACCTAAAACCCTGCCCTTTAATATTCCTAAAGTTCCTGTTTAGAACTTTTGGCATTGCTTCTCTTTTTGACATAGTCTTTGGCAGGTCCCTAGCAGAATCAGCTCCAGGTAAACCTGTAAATAACTGTGCCTCCCTTCCCCATCACCCTGCCTTGATTAGGCTGTTCTTCCAAGTTATCTATCCCATATCTCATCCCTAAATAGGAAATTTAGTCTAAGTTCACATCTTAACGGGCAAGGATGGAATGGCATACTCCACTCCTAGGAATCCTTTGGAGGTAATATCCCACTTTAACCTATCCCTAGAATTCTAATGGTGACTAATTGCCATCCAAAAGGGAAGATATTGTTTGCAAAACTCAATTTATTTCTGGATGCTAGGATATAGCCAACCCAGTCTTCAGTGACAGCAGAACATGTTGCCCTTTAATCTTTGTAGCTTTGGGACAGATTGGGCAAGTGAGTCCCCAGCTGACAGATCTCCTGCTCTGGGCTATCCATTATGAAGAGTCACCAGGTGTACGACTGGAAGCTTGCCGTAGTATCCTAGCCCTCAAACTTCAAGGGGACCAGGTCAGGGACACCTTCCTAGATGTGCTGCTCCTGGAGAAGCATGATGCTGTTCTAACGTAAGCACTAAACCTCTGGTTCCTGCCAAGACCTCTTGTACTGCCAGCTCTCCCATCCTTGTTCACTGACTATGTCCTTGCCTTTCCAGGCTGCCTAGCAGCAGTAAATGCACAGGCTCATCTATGCCATTTACCTACTTACCCAAGTGGGTAATAGAAAAACCAACCTAAATTAGATTGAAAGTCAAGCTCATGTAGTTCATGTGCCTCTTCTCTCCTCCCCCAACCCCCATGGTTTTAAGTTATTCATATATTCAACTAATATTTATCAAGTGCCTATTGTGACAACAGGCTTTAGAGTCAAAAAGACCAGGGTTGGAATTCCAGCTCTGGCACGCAACAGCTATGAGTCTGGACAGGGTATTTAAAGTCTCTGAGCCTATTTTTTCACGTATCAGATGCAGATAGTCTACATTATGGGGTTATGGTGACAATAAATGAGATACATGTTTAGTATCTGTCATAAAGGTTTTAAATAAATCGTGCCTTTAGTACCTTCAAATACATCATCTCTAAAACCACACAACATCCCTATAAGTTAAGTGTCACATCATTTATGGAGATAAGGCTCAGCAAAACTGTACAGTTAGGATTAGAATTTAGGATTCTTGACTAATTCTGAATTGTATATTTTCCATGGGATTTTTTTAAGGACAGTGTAGAACAATCTAAGAAGTCTTTCTTATCTTTTAGGGAAATTTACCAGGCAATGAAGATACTCAACTTAGAAAATGAAGGAAACCAAGAAATGCTTCAGGAAATCAAGAACAGGGTAAATAAGTGCAAGCTGTGCTTTCAAGAGAAAATCCAGGATTCTTAAGAATTCCTCAGACCTTTTTTTCTCCTAAGCATATACACATACTTTTCCCCACCAGAGAAATACTTTCTACAATCCCAGACACAGATACCATAGCATTTGAAGATACAAAACATCTTTGCAAGACTGTGCTATAAAATACTGTTAGTGAAAAGACAAAAACAAAACAAAAATCATATTAGTCCTATCAAGTAGCCCTCAAAATCAGGGTTTATTGTTGTTTCTGAACTACTGTTTCCCTCCCTTGCCATTTTATTCCCACTGTCTCCTAAGCCCAGGTTGTTCTTTCTTTTTTGCAAACAGACATAGAGAAGGAATGAGGGACTGGAGCTGGCCCCCTAGATTTTCCTTTCCTTCTTAATTTTCCTTAATTCCTAATCTCAATTTTTTCACCAAAGGAACTCTCAAGCTGTAAGAGTTCTAATTTTTCAAAACTGTTAGAGATGAAGGAATAGAGAGAAAAGGACTTTTATAAGGTTAATTCACAAAACCAATTTCACACCAAGTGAGAATTTCTTAGCACAAAACCAACTTCACACGAAGTAAGAATTTCTTAGCAGGTTTCTTTCATTATGACCAAAAACCCAAAGTAAAATTTTCATTAACAAGTGTAAAAAATTCTCCAACTTACAGCACAACAGAAAGATGTTCTCAGGCATTTATGTACCACCTAATACTAATAAGCATGATGCAGTCGGTTACTTTATTAATGCTTTTTGATGATTTATTGACTAGAACAGTTGTTTTTTTTTTAACATTTGTTCTAATCTAGATTGAAACACTAAGCCAAAAGGACTTGCTGACACAAAAAATACTCAAGTTCGAGATGGTCATGAGAAAATTGAGGGAGGAAGCAAAACATGTTTATTCACAACCCAAAGAGGGGAAAAAGTTATTGGAATTCCAGACTCTTCTCCAAGAAACTTTTAAGGGTAAGTTTCCTAGGGGTGAGTCCTATGCCTTGACTCCTTTAATAAATCTCTTCCACGATCTGGATATTTTGGTATTTAGGAGCAAGCCCTGTAGAATGGAAAAATCAGGAAAGGCTACTTTCATTTCTTCTTGGCCACTATCCACTCAGTTATTTTACCTTATTTTTCTCCTGTCTCAGGTATTTATTCATTTGTTATTATGTCCCTTAAAAAAGTGAGGTAGCGGGGCCGGCCCGGTGGCTCACTTGGGAGAGTGCGGTGCTGATAACACCAAGGCCATGGGTTCGGATACCATATAGGGATGGCCGGTTGGCTCACTGGGTGAGCGTGGTGCTGACAACACCAAGTCAAGGGTTAAGATCCCCTTACCGGCCATCTTTAAAAAAAAAAAAAAAGTGAGGTAGCTCTATTTGAATTGCTTTAAAAGTTAGGTCAGTTTGATCCCTGTAATTGCCAGCTGCCAAAAAATAAAAATAAAAATAAGAAAAAAAAAAGTTAGGTCTAAAAAGACCTATTAGAAAAACATTCTTTACAAAACAAAAAACTACTGTTTAAGTTTGATTAAGCCCCAACAAAAGCCTTATAAGAGCTTAACCTTTGATACTGGTTATCTCTGGAAAGTGGGGTTGGAGGGAGAGCTATTATTTTTATTTTAGGTACGTCTATGCTCTTGTAACTTTTTCTTCTTTTTGGCAATTGGATAGTACGGGGATTTGAACGCTTGAACTTGGTGTCATCAGCACCTCACTCTCCCAAGTGAGCTAACTGGCCAGCCCAGCTTTTGTAACCTAAAAAAAAAGACTTTATAAAGTTTTCAGCCTTAAATAACTGAACCTATCAGTTATGGTGATAGGATCTTAAGAGTACCAGACACAACCTAATTGATGAGGGTGCAGAAATCAAGCTGTACCAAAATATACTTACAAAATCTGTGTGCCCAAGTGTAGAAGCAGCCTCAGGTCACTCAGCCAGCTGCCTACCAGCTACCACCCCAAACCTAGGTCTTCCGGTTCCAAGTCCAGTACTCTTTCTGGTACACCAGGCTCTTTTCCACCAACCATGAAAATATTCACTTGCCAGATTTGGGGAAGTTTCTTCCAACTGCCAGAAAAAAACGAGAGTGGAAAGTAACTTGAACACCAACCTTCCCTCATGGCCAGCTTGCTACAAATTGGTTGACTACAGCACAACCAGGTGACATGCTGCCCCAGCCTCTGATACAAGCAAGCACTGAGCAAAAACATAATATACTCTTAAAGCTGACCTTACTAATGGAAAATAACTTTTCTACTAGGATTGTGATGTTTAGGGTTCAAGTAGCATAATTAAAATGAATACATTACCACGAAAGTTAGAGAACTGGCCCCAATCAGATGTGTTTCTTTTTAAAAGGTTGTTGAACATGGTCCTTTTACATCTTAAAACCACTCCGAGTTGCTTCCTGCCTCAGCCATTGTAGGTATCTTCCTCCCCGCTTTATGCATTTCTTCAAACCATCCCACATAATAATCTAGCCTTTTTAGAAAAGGGAAACATTCTCTGGCACTCTAATAACTTTCCTAACACTCATACAAACTCAACAATAACAAACAGGATACTGACCCCAAGCCTCCCCTCAAACTGATGAAAGAGAACTCAAATGAAAGATGCAAATTCCAAATAAAAATGTCTGATGTCTTAAGTAGAACATGGCCAGTGCTACACAGTACACTTAAGCCTGAAGGTGATGAAGTTAGTGTTCTGAAATAATCAGGGATCAAGGTCACTTTTGCAGAAATAGCTCCTTTTTTTCCCACTTCCAACTTCTGCTTTTACTTTTGTACCTAGATGAGGTGGTTCTTCCCAAAAGATGGTCTGAGGTTTACGACATTGAAGCAGTCATAAAGGTAAATGTAAGCACACTGATGGTTATCAAGGTAAGAGCATAAATTTTAAAAAAGTGGCAGTGGTAGGGGACAATCACTACTCCCTTTTTTCCAGCAATCAACAAGAAACTAGTTTAGGGTTAGAGGCATCTTGGTGAGCAGCAGCCCCTTATCATACAACATGGTTGCCAAGGAAAGCTGGTCCTCCACACTGTCACAGGGCAAGTCCCCTACTCTCACAAACTCTGGGTAGGAGCGAAGCAAGAGTTCCATGGCATCAGCTTGCTGGGGGTATATTTCCAAGCACTTGGGTTCTTCCAGATGATAAACACGGGAGTTTTCCACCGTGTAATAGAGAAACAAATGGCCTCCCTCACCCACCAGCCGAGCTATCCCATCCTGAAGCATGTGTACTTCTGTTTCTGTTGTCAATTGCGCCCCCACGTTTACAGGTTGTCCAGCCTCCCAGCGAATGGGGAGTCCGTAAACACTTAGCGCCCTCTCCCTATCAGTCAACACAGGGGGCAGAGAATCGTGGATGAAGTCTTTGGCTCGCTGGTCAGCCACAGCATCGACAGGAGCAAAGTGTCCCAAGCGGGAAACTAAGACCCGCACCTTCTCCATGAAAGCAGTTCTTCGAGGATCCTTAGAATCCGAATGCTGGGCCCCCATGTAATCCATGAAGTCTCGGGGTAGACCCCTCCGAAACTCCACATTTTCTTCCATTGCTGCCTGCACGGCCAGAGGCAGTACGGCCTCCAGGAAGTCGCCCCAGGTATTGTGCTGGTATGTGGATAAGGTGAGGTGCAGAGAATGGACTCCATCCTGGCATTCGGCTTGGTGAATGAAGCCCCGAGGAAAATAGAGCAAATCTCCAGGTTCCAGCACGGTCTGCAGCACTGGCTCACCGAGGTCCTCCTGGCTGAAATTGGGGCTAGATGTTAGGGCCAGTTCCTCAATTGGGACCCGGGGTCGGTAGACACGCCAGAGCTTCCTACCTTCCAGCTGCAGCACGAAAGCCTCGATATCGTCATAGTGGGGGGCAAAACCCTGCGAGTTGGGGGGCGTGAGGTAAACGTTTGAGCCTGCCATGCTTCCAAACTGCTCCTGGAGCACAGCCAAAAACTGCCACACGGTGGTCGAGAAAGCCTGCGGACAGAGGAGGCGCAGAGAGCAGCCGGCCTGGTACAGGGACCACGCGGCGGCGGGCAGGGCGCGGCCCGGCGGGTTCAGGGTCTCACGCCGCCCGTTGATGTAGCGCGCGGCATCCAGGTGCTGCCCGAACTGCACCTCCTCGTTGCGGAGCATCGAGTCCAGGTCGGCGGTAGAGAAAAGGCCCTGGTAGTAGGTGTGGTCCTGCCGCCGCACTAGCACCGCTTCCCGCTCCCACAGGCGCCGGTAGAAGTGGTCGGGCGGCATGGGCGCGATCAGCCACTCAAAAAGGCGCACCGCCCGCCGCCGGCTGCTGGGGATACGGTTCAGCTCGGCCAGGACGCGCCGCAGCGGGGAGTCCCAGGACAGCTCCCCACCCGTGCTGTCCACCTGCGGCCCCAACAGCGTCGCAGGGGCCCCGGACTGGCCGCTGCACAGCTGGGCAGAGGTCTCCAGCACGCGCGCCGGCGCAGCGGACACCTCCACCAGGCGCGCCGGCGGGGTCTGCAGGGAGGGTGCAGCGGGCGGGGCCTCCAGCTGCTCTGCAGGCCCATGGTGGCCGTACTGCTCTCGCCGGGCCGTGTCCGAGATGGCCGCCGCCCCACCAGGCTGCGCGTCCCCCACGTCGTTAGCAGTCGACTCCACCCTCGAGTCCTCCGAGTTCTCGCTTGGCAGCGTCTGGGCTCTCAGCGCCGCCATGCGGGACGCAACACTCCTCCTCAGCTGCCTTCGGATCTTCCTAGGCCTCAAGGACAAGGCCAAGACCGACCCGCTGTGTGGCTGAGGCTGGCGCCGGCGCCTTACCCGTCCACGCCTCAACAGCCCTGCACTATCCCGGAGCCCGTCCATGGCAGGATGATCTCCCGAGCCGGGATGCTGCTGACGAGAAAGGGGCTCACGCTGGGCGCGGCTGCGGTGCACTGTGGGAAGGGGCGCGGCCTCCAGGGCCTCTGGGTTAGCCACGCCCACATTCTTCTACCCACCTCCTCCCGCTCGCCCTAGAACCGCAGAATCTCTGCCCAAGGCGCAGGGATTCCATATTGAGAGGGCAATTTGAAAGGCAAGTTGCTAGGGATTCCTAGAGAAAGCTGGCTACTTAACTCTCCTTTCCTTCTAGTGTCTGCATACTGAAGTATTCCCGGGAAGTCCTCATCAGCAGCCTCCCACCAGAAAGTGTACAAATCTTGTTTTCAAAGACTGCCGTCAGGCAAAGTATGAGGTTCAGAATGCCTCCAGCCAAATTTCGAGATTCTGCCCAAACCCCGGATTTTCTGCAGATGACTTCATTGATTGAAGCCCTATCTAAGAGTTCCTCCAACTTCCCTTCCTCCTTTCATCATTACAAATCCTCGGAGTCATTGTTTTCTCTGAAAAAGAAGTTATTTGCCTTCTTGATATCTAGCCTTCCCACCCCTCTGGGGGTTTGTTTCGTTAGCTACAACTTCTCTAGAATCTTCAATTTCTGTCTCCTCTGAATCTTAAATCGACGTTTTTTTGGGGGGGGGCGGTTGGCAGCTGGCCAACCTGGACCTTGGCGTTATCAGCACCGTGCTCTAACCAACTGAGCTAATCTGCCAGCCCCATGGAATTATTGTTGCTTTGTACATAAAGATTACGTGTCTTTATTTGAGTCATTTAAGACAAATTCCCAGAAATAAAATTGCTGGGTGAAAGGACAAGATAATTTTAGTGATTTTTGACAGGTTTTACCAAACTGCCCTCCAAAAGGGTTTACCAAATTGCCGTCCAAAAGCGTTTACAATGTTGCAAGCACCATAAGCATACTAGGCCCCTGTAGGGCCTTTTCTGTGGCTCAGTTTGAGCTTTCAACACTCCCTCTTTTTCACTTGCATTCCTATCCAAATACTTGCTAAAGTTTTTAGACTTTGCCCCTACCTGTGTCTGACATCATCGTTTCTTTTTTATTTCTCACATAGTCTAGTACATGATTCTCAAGTAGGCATGACTTTGCCTCCCTAGGGACATTTGGCAATGTCATATGGGGGGAGGAGGGTTTCTTATATCTAGTGGGTAGAGACTAGAGATGCTGTTAAGCATCCCACAATGCAAAGGACAGTCCCCCAAAACACGTAATTATCTGACCCAAAATGTCCATAGTGCAGAAGCTGAGAAACCCTGGTCTATTACAAGTAGTCTTACAACTAGTCTCTTTACCTTTATTTAATCTCTCCCATACAAATTTATACCACAGGTAGCTACAAGATTAATTTTCTCAAGTTGTGGACCCAAACCTGTCATCACCCTACTTAAAACCTATCCATGTGGCCCATCAACCAATCCAAGCTCCTCATCTAGGTACTGAAGCCACATAATGTTATATACAGCTTTATCAGCCACGACTCCCCTAAACTCTTACTTTTACAAGCTACACTATTTGCTCTTCCTTGCCTATATGGTCCTTCATACATTTTCTCATGTCAAAACTCTAATTAAAGCCCATTTCACATTCCATCTTCTCCCCAGAGTTTCTACCATCTCCCTAATCACAAAAGAACTTTGACTCTTTCACATGAATTTAACACATTGTGCCTTGTATTGGTGATTTATGTACTTGTTATATTCCTTCCAAGGAAAGGACTTCTTTATGCCTTTTTTTTTTAGCTCCTCTTGCATTTAGCACACTGCTTTTCATACAGAAGATACACAGAAAATGTTTGTGGAAAGCTGACTACCCAAATTAAATCACTTCCACTCATTATTTGTGGCATTAGCTCAGGCAAATTACTTCTCAGGACTCAGTTAAGCTCCTCTTGCATTTAGCACACTGCTTTTCATACAGAAGATACACAGAAAATGTTTGTGGAAAGCTGACTACCCAAATTGAATCACTTCCACTCATTATTTGTGGCATTAGCTCAGGCAAATTACTTCTCAGGACTCAGTTACCACATCTATAAAATGGAGATAATAATTTAACCTACTTCTTCATAGGGTTGTTATGAGGATAAAATAATGCTTGTAAGGCACTTAGCACAGGGCTGGGTACAGAGCTAAACACTTGGAAATGGTAGCTATACTAATAATTTATTATTACGGAGCAAAGCCCTATAGGATAGTTTGTGCGCAACTGGTCTACTTGAGAGGAATAAGTAGGTGGGTGGAGTGTGCAGAGAAGTTCTTAAATTGGGCAGAGTAGCAGTGAGAGATGGGGAGTTTACAATTATTTTTGTAAATGCCCTATGGAAACTTAAGTCAGTCGGGATCATATCAGACAAGGTCATTGGTTGGAGTTGTGCAGGTACTACTCTCCACAAAGAGAGAGCCAAGGGCCAGAGTGAGGGTCTAAACCAATCCATGTTCTTCTCCCAAGTCCTGTGGCCTAATACAGGTATGCAGTATTTGGAGGAAGGAGCAGCAGGAGGGGGAACCCTCTTCCTAATTGACACAAAGGCTATGTGTGCTGGCAAGGCCTTCATATTGGGTCCCCTAAGAAAATGCTGAAGAAGAGGGCAGGTCATATTTGTCACTAGGAACTTTCATTGCCTTTTCAAAGAGAGTGGTTTTCACTAGACAAAGGACACATCCTGCAGTGAACTGGGGGAATGTACTGTGTTTTTCTGCCTGCAAAGCTGTGCTTAGTTATAGGAGGTTTGTAAATTGGTAGTTTCCACATCGTATACAATATCTCCTCCCAATCTTTCCTGTGACCTCATCCTTTTCTTTTTTTGACATTTTGTGATTTCCTCAGATAAAGAGTCTTATTGATATCTCTGTCCTCTAGTTGCTGCTGTGACTGGGAGGTGCCTTTTGGAACCTGACTTATCTTTAATTTCAACACTTTTCCTGTGGCTGTACATAGTTCTCACTACAAAAGCAACTATTAATAAATAACCGTTTTCAGATATATAATTTAATGACATGGAATAATGTTCTTTTGTTAAGTGGGGGAGAAAGACGACAAATAAGTAATAGGATCCCATTTGGGGAATATGTGTGTGTGTGTTGGAGTATATGTATATATCTAACCCACCCATACATATATCTATATATACTACTGAAAAAGTTTGGGATTCTACATTATAATATTTAACAGTGGTTATCTTTATATAGTGGGATTCTAGGTGATTTTTATTTTATTCTTATTTGTATGTTCTGGATTATATATATATATTGAATATTTATCATTTGCACAAAAATATGGTATTTTTTAGGGCCAGCCAGTTGGGAGAGATGTGAGAGCATAGTGCTGATAACACCAATGTCAAGAGTTTGGATCCCTTTACCAGCCTTTAACAACAAACTTCAGTTGCCCTAACTCATCTCATTTTTCTTGACCTTCAATCATTGCTTGTCTTGCTTTTCTATTTTTTTAAATTCCCTTTAAAAAAAATCAATGGAACTTGACATTCAGATTATAGAAGTTAATTATTGTTATTTAGAGAAGCTGCTATAGAAAAGAGGTTGAATAGAGCCAACCCCACGTTTAAGCCTACATAGAATGATTTGAAGCCTATCAGGAAAGTACTCTGAATTATCTCTCCCACCAAAATCTATCCTTAGATAGTTATTCTAAGGATTAGTTATTGCCATTTTCAACTCCATCTGTATCTAAAATTCAAATATACTGGGAGGAGTGATATATACTAAATCACAAGTTCCTTTTAATGCCTTTCCTTTATGAAGGAAGGATTGCAAGAGAAGTTGCTGAAAGGGGAATGGGGAGGAAGAGAAATAAAAGGAAAGTAAAAGAAAACAAATGTCTAAGTCAGTGGTTGTCAGCCTGGGACAATTCTCCCCCCAACCCCCCCGGAACATTTGGCAATGTCGAGAGACATTTTTGGTTGTCACGGCAGGGGGGATGCTACTGGGTAGAGGTCAGGGATACCATAAAACATCCTACTGCTAGGCATCTATCCTTTAAAAATATTTACCCAGGGGGCTGACTGGTTAACTCAGTTGGGAGAGCCTGTATTGGTAACACCAAGGTCAAGGGTTCTGATCCACAGGGGGGATGCTACTGGGTAGAGGTCAGGGATACCATAAAACATCCTACTACTAGGCATCTATCCTTTAAAAATATTTACCCAGGGGGATGACTGGTTAACTCAGTTGGGAGAGCCTGTATTGGTAACACCAAGGTCAAGGGTTCTGATCCCTGTACCCTCCAGCTGCCAAAAAAATAAAAATATTCACCCATGTGTACAAAGATATATATACACAGATGCTCATCACTTATAATTGCAAAACAAAATTACTCAAATGTCTATTAATAGGCAGTTATTAAAAACAATGACAAGACCCCATACCAGCCAGCCGCCAAAAAAATTAAAAAATTAAAAAAAATAAATAAAAAGAATTACAAGGAAAGTCCAAAATGTATTATAAATTGAAAAATAAAATTACAGAACAATATGTTGTTCCATTTTTTGTTTTAAGAAAACACATTCCACATATATTTATATATAGTTTCTTTAATACTATATATGTTATGTGTGTGTGTGTCTGTACAGTTGAATGTCTGGAAAGATATATACCAAACTGAACACAGAAGTTCCCTCTGGGGAAAGGAGATTTTTGGTTATAGAAGACTTTCATGTTTTACTTTATACAGTTCTGTATTATTTTGCTTAAGACCTTAAGGATATAAATCTTGGATTTGGCAAATGAGAGATAGATTACAGTCTAGCTAAGAATACTGACTCTTACTACTAGTAAGACTATTTTACTAAATTACTGTAAATCAGGGGTTGACAAATTTATGACACTTGGGCCCAGTCTGCCCTGCCTCCTGTTTTTGTACCACCTGTGACTTTTTACATTTTTAAGTGATTGAAAAAAATCAGAAGAATATTTTGTGACATAAAACTTATACAAAATTCAAATTTCAG